CCCTTGACCAAGGAAGACTGGGGTGAAGTCAAATTTGAGAAGCTGCTGACACACAAGTCCTTTCTGAGCATCTATGGAGAGTCTGAAGAAGTCAAGGTTGATGCTACTGCTGCCACCAGGATGGAGGAGAAGTTAGAGGCAGCAGTAACTGCTAGGAAAGGGTTCCCATCCTCTGTCCACTGCCCACCAGTTTTCTCTCTTTGCCCAAAGAATGTTCCAGTGATCAAGGTCTCCAGGGCTAGGCAGTGAGGCCCTGGCCTTTTTACTTACATCAGTCTGTTCACTGCCTTTGGCAAATTGCTTTCTTGGCCTGTGCCTGGAGCTGATCTTAGATGATGCAACCTGTAAACTCCTGGTTGCTTTACCAGCAGCACACACCTGCTTCAGCAGCAGTCATGCATTCCAAGTTATTGCTTTTTACTGTGATCTCTTTCAGCCTTGGTAACTTCGATGTTTCCCACATGGCTGAGGTAACTTCAGTAGCTTGTGTTTCCATTTTTCCTACCTAGAAACTTAAAGTTCATTTTATAGAACTTAAACCTTTCTATTCTTGCCCTACTACCTCAAACCAGTCAGTTGTATATTTTACGAAGCTGTTTGAAGGCAGAATAAGTGTTCATTTAAATCACTTCTGCAGATGCTGTGCCCGTGACCTGGATATCTGAGTTTTATAAGACCTGCTCTATTGTGCTATATTGTATTACAAAGGTTCATCAAAATACTCCTGATTTTTTTTTGTCAAGGAATAGCAGATATTGATGCTCTGAGTTTTAGACAAAACACAGCTGTGTTTTTATGCACAGGCAAGTTGCTTCTGCAGCCAACATTAAAAAACATTCCATGGGGTAATTGTCTCAAATCAAGGAAAATGAAACAAGCAACCCTTTTCAACAACTATAAAGCAATTTCATGTTGCTAGGCCTTGGTGATTAGCTTTTGGCATTTTCACAGAGAAAATTGCTGGGCATTGAATTAAATATGGGTACATGTTTTTGTATACAATTTTTAAGACTAAATGTATTACTTTAAAGCACTAAATAGTAATACAAAGTATGAATGGGATTTTGGGAACTACAACTTCAAATTTACTTCTCTTCTTTTTATTGCCTGCATTTTAAAATCTTTTTTAGAACTGATTTTCAAGAACTGGGGTAAAGAACTAGGAGAAAAAAAATTATTACAATCTCTGGAATGGAATGACAATAGCTCTCAAATGTATATGGGCAGATGTTTACTTCTTTCTAAATGTCAGCAAGAAGCAATAAACTTCAGTTTACTGGTGAAACCTCTCCACAGTAGAAATCTGATGTAGAGACAACTGTGACCTGAGGGCTACATTATTCCCAAGAGTATAGACAGAAGGTGAGTTAATGCCTATAGATACTTGACTTTTATACACTAATAACTTTATAAAAGGTGACTCAAAGGTTGGTTATGAATCATGACCTTTTTTTTATTTAGCTTTTGAATTATATTTAAAGTTCACATATGTCTTAATAATGCAAATTACTACTCCAGGAACTTGTCATAAATAATGGAGTAAAATTGATGTGACCATTGTACCTGATCTTGTTTCACAAATAAATAAGAAGAGTCAGTCTTCAAAATAAGTCTGTTTTCAGTCTTGTGTTTTATAAACAAAACACAACCAAATCTGAAGAATAGTTTTTGCAGCAAGGAAAACTGGTAAATCAGCTAAGAGCTGAGTTGTCAAAAGATTTCTAAAATTTATAGCTACTTATATCCTTTAAAATAAGTACACTTTAAATTGTTTCCCTGAGGTGTAGTTTAGAGCCTTGAACCTCAACTCCAGCTACAACTTCACCACAGGAAAAACAACAACAACAACAACAAAAACCAAGAAAAAAGAATTTATAAAGTATTTTACTGAGACACTTCTTAAGGAAGTTGTATGTCCTATTATGTGTCAGATTTTTATGTGATTTGTTATTCCTGAAACAAATACACCAATGTAAGTGAAATACTTCTATTATTGGAACCATACAAAAATAAGATACCTAACCACTGGAGTGAGCAAAAGGAAGGACATCCTTGTATACTTTTTCAGTAACATCTTCCTGATTAAGCCACTGAGAAGTAAATATGTAGGACTACATGTAACAGGGTGCACAGGTTCCCATCTCCTTTATACATATCTCCTATTTTCTCCATTAATTGCTATGGAAAATTGTGGAGGCAAATGGCTTTTTGGAGGTGAGCTGTCATCTGATAGAGATGATTGTGGATTCCAGTTACAGACAGAAGGACACTGCATTTAGTTTCTTACTCTTTCTGAAGTTCTCAGTCTATTCTAGTTTTAGTAGATCTTTTCATGTCAAAAGGTGTCCGAGACTAGACTCAATAAAACTAGATTCAAGGAAATGCATGAGGCAGATATTTAAGTGATCTCTTTTGCAAAGGTATGAAATTTATTTTTCTGAAGTGTGATGCAAATTTTTTACTGGTTTTTTCCCTTACTTTTTCGACTACTTTATGTGTTTAACTAGATAATTATTTGTACTGAATTCATAATAACTTTTTCATCTGAACTGTCTATTGCATGAAAATTTTACTCAGTCTAGATAAGAAGAGCAGTGGATTAAAATGTCAACACCTGTTTGGTTATGACAAGAGCAATCATGAGTGCTGTAAATGTGGGAACTTCACTCTTGTAAAAGCTGAAGCCTGAAGGTCTAACAGACTAGCTACAATTTAGTTGTGTTCTCTGTTTTTTTCCATTTAATGCTCAAGGCAGTCTTTTAGGGACTATATACTTTACAATAGGTATGCAGCAGAAAAGCAAAGTTTGAACTATGAAACTGTCAATTAAATATCTAAAGGAAAGTAATAGAGTCAACATTCCCATCCAAATCTCTAATGTGATTTTCAGGTTGCTTTCCCCTAAAACTAATTTTGTTTCTGTGCCAAATTTTCCTTCTTACTTGTCTGTAAAGTCTAAAAGTCTTTGGTCACCTTTCAGGTTATGCTGTTCAAAAGATACTATTTCTCAAGAAAACAGAAGTGTGAGTGATGAGGACTAAGACAGCATTTCATATGGAAAGTTGTTATCAATGTAATTATTAGTATTAACTTCATTAAAGCCAAGTTTGCACTCCTGGCATGCCAGAAGAAGAGTGACATCTGGCAACAAGACATGATTCAAAAGCAAAACATCAGCAGTAATGTTTCCTGTATCTCACTCACCACATGAAGGAATTCATAGTCAAACAAAGTCATCAGCAACATTAGGAAAATCTATAGCAACTTCTTTTCATTTTCACAATATACTCAGAGCACTTCCAAAAAAGTGTGTGACATCCTAGAAATGTTTAACAATATTCTTTCTCAAATCCCTTGCAGAAGTAGAGACTAGTAGATTCGCATGGTAATAAAACATGTAAAAAATTATAAAGAATGTGCATTAGAAATAATAAACAACCCCCAAGTCTTTGAGGAATCTTTCATAGTTCATTTTTGCTTGATATGTTTGCAGCTTCTTAACTGAGTTACAACAGATGCATAAAACAGCTCAATCCACATAAGTTTCTCAGATCTATATAAACTGAATTGTGTTCTCCCATGAGATGTTCCTTTGGACATAATGGAGCAGACCATACATAAGTTTAATTAAAATCTAGTTCTGCAGAACTCGATAGCTTTGCAGTCAGCTGATGTGCAGATGCTGAAATGCTTCAATATAAGCAGCAAAAATAAAGGTAGAAAAAAACCCTGTCAAACTGCACACTGAAAAATATGCAAACAAGAGCTCACTGCCTCCAACAGCGCATCTGGGCAATTCTGTTGGTCACTGCTGCTGCCAGCTGCAGCTCCCTGACTGGTAATTCGAAAACAAATGGCTAAGAACCCTCAGGCAAACCCGGTTCATTCATAACGCAGATGTGCCGATGAGAATATTCACATGAACTCGCATCCATATTCTGGAAGAAATTTTATATTTTGCCCCATTCTGAAAAGACTGGATTTTCAGGAGCTCCCATTTCGGCACCGTTTAGGACTGCCTGCGGCTGCCTGGCTCTAAGGAGCCCGCCAGCCCTCAGCAGGGATGCGGTCCTGCCGCGGCAGAGCTCTCAAGCACAGGAGTCGTGATTTGGCAGTAAAAAGCGGCTAGATTTCCCTTTTTTTTTTTTTTTTTTTTTTTTTACTTTCTTTAAGGAGTGAGAACGTCTGCCACCTTTTGTCCTTTGAGATACTTCATAGTACTACGGACCGATTAATGGAAATCTATGAAGGAGGTGAAGACAGCGAGCACAGGCAGCGTTTAGCCTGGAGGACTAACTCTTGCTGCCGGCTACCTGTTGAGATGGGTTCACGCAGGTGCTGCCTTTTTTCCGTCTTTCCAAGAGAGTTCATTTAAGCCCGGCCGGACCTGCCGAACGCTGCCCAGCCTTCCTGGCAGACGCGGCTCCCGACCCCTCCCTAGGAGCGGAGGCACCAAGCACAGAGAAGTTTTTTTGCGGAGAGGACCGGGATTCCGCTCCTGCCCGCGGACCGCCCCGCGCTCCCACTGCCGCCCTGCGTGGGTAATCACAGGCTGAAGGGAGGGAAGAAAAAGGGTGGGGGAAAAATAAGGAGGGAGGAAAAAAACCCCACCCTTTCTTTCTCCGAGGAGACGTTCCGGGGAGCTCAGTCTCCAGGAGCAGCGGGCAGCCTCCAGCAGCGCGGGGGCCGCGGACACTCCGGCGCTGCTCGGGGCGGGCGCGGCCGGAGAGCGTCCCCCGGCGGAGGCGGTGGCAGCGGGGAAGGGGGGGTCCCCGTCGACAGCTCGGGCGGACGGGCGCTGCCTGTGGGGGCCGGAGGGGCTGCCGAGCCGGCTCCGAGCCCCTGCGAGCACCGGGCCACCCTAAGCGGCAGCACCCTACACTCCCCGCCGCCTCCCTGCGCTGGTGGGGCGCTCGCATCTTGGCCCGCCGCGGTCCGCGGCTCCAGGGAGAGGTGGCTCCGCGTTCCGCCGGCGGGAACTTTGCCCGGCGCTCAAGGGGAAGGATGGAGCCGGGAGAGACCGCGGCGGGGCCCCTCAACCGGTCCCGAGCTGTGGTAGAGCTACCCCGCGGGGAGTTCAACCTCTCCGGGCTGCCAGAGGAGGAGGGGAAGCCCCTCTTTGGCATCGGCATCGAGAACTTCATCACCTTGATCGTCTTCGGCTTGATTTTCACCCTGGGGGTGCTGGGCAACACCCTGGTGATCACGGTGCTGGCGAGGAGCAAGCCAGGCAAGCGCCGAAGCACCACCAACATCTTCATCCTCAACCTGAGCATTGCCGACCTGGCCTACCTACTCTTCTGCATTCCCTTCCAGTCCACGGTCTACGTGCTCCCCACCTGGGTGCTGGGTGCCTTCATCTGCAAGTTCATCCACTACTTCTTCACCATCTCCATGCTGGTGAGCATCTTCACACTCTCAGCCATGTCCGTGGACCGCTACGTGGCCATTGTGCACTCCCGGCGCTCCTCGGCCCTGCGCATTCCCCGCAACGCACTGGTGGGTGTGGGGCTCATCTGGGCTCTCTCCTTCGCCATGGCCTCACCTGTGGCTCACCACCAGCGCATCTTCCACCGTGAGACCAGCAACCAGACCTTTTGCTGGGAGCACTGGCCCAACCCACGCCACAAGAAGGTCTACGTGGTCTGCACATTCATCTTTGGATATCTGCTGCCGCTGCTTCTCATCTCCTTCTGCTATGCCAAGGTGAGGTAAATGGAAAAGGAATGGAGGGTTATGATGGTGGTAGGTGTCCATGATGGTGGTCAGGTCATTTCTGGTCATGTGGAAGGACATGGCAGTGTTGGGAGGAAAAGGAGTAGGGCTGAGTTTATGGCACAAAGGGAGAGAACAGGTTTTATAGCTGGGAGGAGACAACACCTGTGTAGTGGCACAAAAGAAGAGGTTTTATAGCTGGGAGGGGTTGACATTTGTGCAGGGGTACAGGTCAAAACAGGGATCGCATGGGGTGAGCAGGGGGGTGGGGTATGGTTTTGACAATTACTGACAGATTTCCTTGTTGCAGAATGCTGAGAAGCCCCAATGCTCTGCTGCTTTCTCTGTCACCACAACTTTTATTTTCTTGCAGTGCTGTATGAGGAGTTTAACTCAATAAAGTACGTCGAAGCAACAAGTTGTTTAGGCTTCAGATGAAGCCCCGTCATTCTTTAAAATGCAGTGCACTTAAAAAAGACACAAAGTACCAGTTTGGTCTGATCCAGTTAACACATGAAGAACAAAATGTGCATCCCACTGCCTGGTCCCTGTGTGACTTGTCTTGCCCCAGATGAAGCTGATGGGAGGTTTGCCTCTGACTTCAGCAAAGGCAGATAGTTCTAGGGAGCAGCGCATGAGGACCCACCCAGGAAAAAGCAATAAGCAAGGGTACCTGAATATGGGTATTTAAGGATTTTTCTGCTTAGGAAAACTGTCACATTTTTCTGTGAGTAATAATTGTAGCCTTCAGGGTAGGGCCCTCTGCTTGCTGCTGAAAAGAATCTGGAACACCAGTTGCTACCTGCTGAGTTAGGCAGAGATCCTGCTGTTTCTGTGCCAGAAACCTTCAGCTGCAGGATTTCTCTTTGGCAGTGATTTACATTTGAGAGGATAGGGCTGCTCTTGCAAATAAGGACTGCTTAAGTATTGAGAAGGCAGTTCTTTAACTAGCAAGTTCAATAGATGTACCTGAAGTAGTTAATTTGATCAAATAATTTTATGTTCCGTTCTGTATTACATCAGTGTAATTGTGAGGTGCAAATTGAGGCTAGAACGGCATCTGACTCTGCTAGCTCAAGGCATGCAGAGCTCAAAGGACAACATTTCTAGATTACTGCTTGTAGTTAAACAAGTTCAACCTGGCAAATGAAGAAGAAATGCATGTTTTCCTACATAAACTGAATACTGCTTTCCCTGTGTGAATACGCTGGTATTTCATCTACAGTGGTGAATAAGGCTGAGCTGTACCATAGATCATCAGTTTGAGGAAAATACTACATATTGCACAGAAAATGTTACAGAATGAGTGCAGAGGGAGCTTTTCAGCTACTAATTTTTCTGTTTTTCAAAGCCAAAGCATCTTCAGTTTCAGTATAAAGTCTATATGAGAGAAGACTGAAAACAATACTTTAAAAATTAGGATAGTCCTGCACAGTATAGGGAGGAAATAAAGAAATATGCCTAATCAAAATACATGCATAGTAAATATAACACACCATGTTGTTACAAAGCACCTCTACATAAGTAGATCTCTCAATATTAGTATGAATTTGTAGTTAAAACCAAACCAAAAGAACCACAACAAAAACCCCAAGCCAACAATAGCAACCCTATGTAAAAACATGCCCAGAACAAGTTAATGAAATCTAGGCCACCTGATGTTACAATAAAATCATCTACTTTAATTATTGCCAGGCTGGGATCTCATGCTTGCTTGGTGATGAGTTTTGAGTCTGTACGTATGATCCTGCTTGTCATGGTGTCAGGCTGGAAGATGTAACCTGAAGGCATGAATTTTAGAAGATAACTAGGAGATACCTGGTATTCCCATCAGTGTCAATGAAGCTGCAAAATGCCATGACTTGTACAAGGCTATTGAAGGTATTTGTACTTCACAGCTTGTATCCCACTTGTTCCTGCCCTCTTTAGGAGCCACTGGCAACTCTCCACCAGCAATATTTGGGCACATGGGGCAGGGTGAGGGAGAAATGATAGCTGAAAATCAGAGCTGAGGTTTCAGATTTTTCAAAGCCATTGCTCCTCTGACAGACCTTGAGCAAATTGGTCACTGCAAGTTTTATTGATGTTACTAAAGTATTATGAAGTACAACAAGTATTTTGGCTTCTAAATGCACACAGGGTTAGAGGATAGCTGCTGTGGAATACCCTCAGAAGTACTATAAAGATCATAGAATCATAGAACAGTTTGGGTTGGAAAGGACCCTAAAGATCATTTAGTTCCAACCTCTCTGTCACGGGCAGGGATACTTCCCACTAGACCAGGTTGCTCAAAGCTCCATCCAATCTGGCCTTGAACACTTTCAAGGATATGGTATCCACAGTTGCAGTACCTCACCACTCTCATAGTAAAGAATTTCTTCCTAAAATCTAATCTAAACCTGCCCTCCTTCAGCTTAAAGCTGTGAGCCCTTGTCCTGTCACTACATGCTTTTGTAAAAAGTCCCTATCCAGCTCTCTCATAGGCCCCCTCTAGGTACTGGAAGACTAGCACGGGGTCTCCACAGAGCAATTCCAGCTCTCAGCCTGTCTTTGTAGGAGGGGTTAGTCCCTGCATTTGTTTCTTATGGACTTCACTGATTTTCATGAACTGTGGATCAGTGAAATAGTACAATCTTCTGATACAGATTAAGATCTGATACAGATTAAGACAAAGGAGACTAATTTCTCTATTTGAATATAATGCCTTTTTCCAGACTCCTTTAAGGCAGTTCTTTCATAAGAAAATTGCAATTGAACTTTCAAGTTTTGAAAGTCTCATTTTTTAGGCACTCTAATATGGAGCCAAGATCTTTCTCTCTCTCTCTCCTAAATTGTATTTAGAGAGATTTATATCTTCCCCAGTGGATAACCTGCAGAAGTCCTGAAGTAGTGCCAGGTATTTGGAAACAATGTCCTCCCAAAATTCGTCACGTGATGTGCTCTTCAGGCAGAGATTCATGAGATTGTGCTCTGTGTCTTGTGTGTACAGTTATGCCTTTTCTCTCTTCCATGAATTACTTTGCTTCAGTTTCAGCCAAATTTTTGATAGAAAAGTGAAAATATCGAGAAGGAATGATATTACCCTAGTTTTATGAAAACAGCAGCCAATGCGTGAGGAAGGTGGAAAGTCTCCATCATCCTCTCTTAAGGAGTGTCAGTTTGCACTCAGCTGGTAAACATCAGACAAGCCATAGGGGAAGAGGTCTTATGTAGCATCAACTTATGGAGAAGACACATCTTTTTGGGTACACAGTCAACAAGTCACAAATCCATAGGAAACAAGCTTTTGTTGCCTCACAGACCTACTCTTGAAAGAAGTTTACTACTCAAGAGAGAGGATCAGTGATTATGTCATCTTTAGTTGAGTCACAGCACTGCATGCTTGTGCACAGCCTGTATTCTGACTTTTTTATTGCTTATCATACTACTTGCCATATTTTTTTAATACTGACTTTTTGTGTGTGCTTTGTAACAGTGCTACAGCATTTGCTCACTAATGTGTTCTTAAAGGACATAGTGATAAATGATTCCCAGGCAACTTCTAACTACAGTTGGCATCTACCAGGGTCAAGCAATGTGACAACTAATTTTGGATACCACAGCTTTTCAAGGATTCAGTCCTTGAAAGTCAGGCCTCCTTCTATCAAGCTTTTAGGTTGGACACCTGTAATTACTTTTTCCTTTTATAGATGTATGATGTTAAAAGCTTTTTAAAAAACAAATATGTCTTGCTTTGAAAGTATTTCCATTATTATCTATCATTCTGAACATTCTGAACTCACAGAAGTCATGTATGATTTATAGACTTGGTTAAAACTAAGCCATAAAAAGTAAGGGCCTCAACATAGGATACAAGCTTATGTGGTTTTTGGCTTCAGATATTATATCTTAAATTTTGCTGAGCAGCAAGGGGAAAACTTGTTAAACTGCACTAAAAAGAGTGACACACTCTTAATTGAAGGAGTGTGAAGGATCTATTGTGACAATAGAGGTAGCAGCATTACTTTAAAACATGGATTGCAGGTAATGGCCCTTGAGTTTAAATCAGGTTCGTACTATAAAGATGGTTCAGAATGTAGTGTTTACATTATGGCTCTGTTAAACAAGCAGTTCGTTCTTATTAGACAATGTTCTTGGTCAGGCTTTCCTTCTACATGATTGTCAATGGCTGATAATGAAGATGTAGTCAGTGGAAGTATTGTATACATGCTGACAGGAAGACAGAAAAGCTGTTCCTTCCCTCAGAGACAAAAAAGAACAGGGACATGAAAGCTGGAGTTAGAAAAGTTTCATGTTTCTTTTCTACAGAGCTTTTTTTTTTTTTTTAAATGCTACACCTTATGAGAACAGGTTGGGACCTAATTTTTAGCAAGCTGAGTCTTTCATTCCATAGGTTAAAAAATGCAATGCAAATGTATTAGTGCAAATGTATCCACTAATACATGCCAATGTATTAGTGAATAGTTTGAAATACTTTCTTAAGAGAAATAGCCCAAGACAAATTAAGAGGTACATGTAGAATTATTGTTCATTCAGGTAAAGACAGTGGCTGTTAGAGGAACAATTTATTGTTCATTGGCCCAGAGAAGAGATAATTTGAATTGGGCAATGAGGAGAGTGTTTTTCATTTGCCTTGTAGTGTTTGTGCATAAACACGGCTCTTTTTATTCCTCCACGGCATTCTGTGTAGGTCTTTGAGTGCTGTTCCACTGATGTTGATAGGTAATTGCATTTTGCATATTTCTCTTGCTCCTAGTTTGCATACCATCTGGTACACTACTACCTAGAGCCAGCAAGTTTTCACTGCAGATACTTTATTTATGAAATACGTATATAATCTGAAAGACGAGAAGTTCAGAAGGATTCATTTAAACGTTATCACCTAAATTGGCACCAAAGCTCTCCACCATAACCTCCCATCCTCACCAAATATCCAATTTAACAGTTTTGTCTACTGTATCTTTCTTTGGATTGGAGAGAGATGCAATGTAAAAATTTGTGCTAAAAGTTTAAGCACAGAAGACAAAAATACTTGTAACTTTAAAATAAGATTTTGCAGTTCTGTTTTCTGAGACAAGTTTATCTGACTTTAGTTTTGGGCTGTGAGGGTCCAGTAGAAACAGCCCATCACTGCAAATTATGTGAAGGAGGTATGATAGATGAAGCAGCAGTGATGGGAAATGAACTTTGTTTATTACTCACATGCCCTTTTTTTGTTTTACATTTTTCATAGATGGACCCAGCAATTCAGCTGGTTTGTACAGGGTGATGGTAAGTGAATAAAAAGTCTGTGAGCCAGATGGTCATTTTCCTGGTCTTCTGATGGACCTCAGGGGTTTCCTCTGTAGTTTTCTGGTCTGCTTCATACTGAAGAAGAAAGTAGGAATAAAGCCAAAATAGGAGCCTTCTCAGGGAAAACTGATTTTTTTTTTCCTGCTTTTCCTGAGCCCAGGTTGGCCTCCGTAGCAACCAGGATAGTGTTTCAGAATAGGAAGTGCTTGCAGGATGAGTCTTTCACATGTTAGTGCACAGATAACCACAAACGGACTTCACGTAGAGTATTAAGTGGTTACAATTAATTTTTTGTCTTATTGTTGTTTGTGGTTCACTGGTAGCTAAGAGTGGACACTTAAAAAGTGGAATCTGCTGATGGGCTATGGTTATTCACAAATACCAATTTATTTCTTTTAATTCAATATGTATGTATCTAAGATTCAGGGGATCAAGTCTCTAGGTCGTCTTGACTGATGTCTGTCCTGGTAGTGGTTAGCTGTGCTTCCCAAAGAAAATGAAGAAAATGTCCCCAGATGACATAAAAGAACTTGAATTTGCACCCTTTTCCCCACCTTAAGAAGTGCTTATGGACTGTAAAATTTGGTGTTATATTCCTTTAAAAACTTATTTTAATGTTGGATTATTTTACCTACTAAATCTGGATGATCTTACCTATAGTATCATTCTCATTTCATCTTAGAGCAATGTAAAGTGCAACCTACAAGCATCATCTAACTGAGCTCTTCACTCTGATGCTGTCTCTAAAAAATTCCTCTTGCCATATTTTAATTAAATCCTCAAGTTTAATAAGAATATATCTTTTTTATTCTGTATTGTTTGTAGTATGTTAAACACATTCAACTGAAGAGCATATTCCCTGCCCCCCATACCTACAAATCATGCCATAAGAATATACTGGATTCAGTTAATAATGACTACAGATAATGTGGGGCATGTACCTCTATGCACCCACTATCCAAAATCTTATGTGTAAAGTATTATGTTGAAATTTGGATACTGCTCTTGGATGATGAGCCTTTTTGTGACATATTTTCCAAAATCACTTGTGAAAGATGCATGGCAAGTATCATCAAATTGTTGATAAAGGTCACACCTCATGTGTTGGGCCTCATTTTAGTATAAATTACTTTTGACAACCCAAGATTCTTTTGAAGATCACGTGCTGCAAGCATCCTGATTATATTCATCAAAAATCCATCTGAAAAAAGGAAATTATGCAGGTGACTCAGAAAAACTCTGACCCAAAACATACATTTTTCTTATGTTACATTCAGTAAAGATCATTCTAAATTAACAGGTATTGATTTTTAATGGAAGAAGAGTGATTGCCAGTTGTAGGTGCGTGATGGGTTTCCTTGTTAATTCACAATATGTATTTTTAACATAATATGTCTGAATTTTTATATAAGAATTCAGTTGTGGTCTCTTTCATATTTGTGGGTTCACACAGATGCAGATATGTAATTTCTTCAGTTTTCATACTGTTCACTTTTGAAATGTGTAAATTGGATCAGCGATGCTTGTAAGGGAATCATGCAGTACTGAAGAGCATGCTCTAAAATATATGGGTTTGAATTTTATTTGAATAGGAAATGGTTAAATACAATACAAGATGAAAATTAATCTTTTCAGGTTCTTAACCACCTACACAAGAAGCTGAGAAACACGTCAAAGAAGTCAGAAGCATCCAAGAAAAAGGTATATTGTATTCATTACTAATATTTATTTGTTTATGTTTTAGTTTTACGGCTAAACGCATTTGGTGTTTTATTGCTTGTTGCTAAAGATGTAACAGAAAGAAGAAATTTAAATTAAGTATTTAATGAAGTGTGCATTGTCCCTCTGAACTTAGCAGGACTGGAACCTTTTCCGATCCAAGTTTTCCATCACATTGCATCAAACCATTACCTGAGATCCCCATATTTTGAACTTCAAAGCATCTGAAATTTAGACATGGAGACACAATCTGTCTTTAGAACTAAATGTTTTTGGTCTTTTTTTCTCACAGACGTTTTCCCCTGACTAAATAAGGTGATTTTTTTTTTTTTTTAACTAGCTATTTTTTTAATATTTTAATAAAGAATTCTTCTGTTATATGATAAGGCTTTAGAGATTTTGTATTTCCTGATAGGTGCCTATTAAGAGACTTTCATTGGTTCTCTAACTCTTCTACTGATTTTCCACACAATGCATTTTTCTCCTACATCCAAGATGCAAGTTACATACTGGTTACCAGTAGAACCATGAAAGGTCTTTAAAGCAGAATATAAGCTTTGTGATTTAGAACAATATTTGAAAGATGTGTTTATACCGAGGATTTGTCAGTTAATCTAATATGGATTTGGCCACAGTAATCATCAACTAACTTCTCAGTTCATGATATTGGAGTCAGAAAAACCCTTAGGCAGTAGCTCTTCATTTGATCTGATCACTATTTCCATATGGACATGCAGACTGTCTGCAATGTAAATGAGATATATATGGGCTCAACAGGGCCTCAATAGTTAGTTATTATTTATGAATTCTCTATGTTTTTGAAAAATATCCTAGTCAATAGATTTCGATTGCTAGAATTAGAAGCGTTATGTCCCTGATCCTGTAAAATACTTAACATATGTATATATAGTTTTGCACTTAACCTTGTCAAGGCCAATGGTGCAGTTTTCAAAGACATTCTATATATTGCCATTTCTCCATCTAAATTATTCTCAAACTTGAAATATCTGTGCATTCTGCTAAACACTAACTCTTAAGGATTACAGATCTGGCTAGAAATTAGCATTCTTAGCTTCAGGGTAAAGCATTACACACATAATCAAGACTGCTCGGCTGAATCAGTATTCAGTAACCAAAGGAGGAAAAAAAAAGCAAGCCAAAACTTTTCTTTTGCCTTAGAAAATAAGTTTCTGAATCTAAGGCCTACCTTATGTTTTTCAGAGAGACTCTGTATTCACTACTGTGCTAATGCTCTCTCTGGTTACCATGTCTTGTTTATTTCTCTGTACTATCTTGTTAAGAATGCATTTCAGGTGTAATTATACATTTCTAGCTTTATTCAAACCTGTAGGAACATTCTGGTAGTAGAATCATACAGTAAATTTGCTGTTTGTGTGGAAAAAAGTTTATGAAAAATATTAATTTGCCTAAATTATATTTTTCATGTTTTTTGGTCACCAAGCATCAATATTAACATCATATATATCAGGTGGGTTTTATTGCTGATGTGAAACCCTAAGGAAGCTCCCATTAGGTGAACAAGAGCTGCTCTTTAGTGATAGCTTGTTTGCAGAACGTAGTGATGATTTTGAAAAGGTAAGCTCTGAAGTTAGGCTTAGGAGGAAGAAAGGGATAAAACAAATGTTGTGAGGTTTCCTAGTGCAAAATTGCTTATTCAGCAGATATGAAAGAAATAAAAGTTACAAGAGACATATGGTCAGCCTCTGTTTTCAAGTGCATCTATAGTCTACTGAAAGGTGGTGATTTTCCTAGTTACTTTTTTTTTTAGAATTTTGAACAAACTGAAGTAATATACCTCTTTTGAAGTACATGTGGTATCCTGAGAATCTGTTTTTTATTTGAAGTACTAACACATTACACAGTGATCAGAGAATGAACCACTTTTGAAAACAGATGATTGCTTAAGGCTATACAAATTATATTAACTACAGATATAATGTCCTCTGGTTTCTGTTGTGAGATTATACTAATCAACAACAGTGTCTGCCATAAGTTATTTTGGCCTGTTGTCACAGAAATCAAATTTTTTTCCCCATAAGTTTCTGTAAGTTAACTCATATTCTGATTCGGTAGATCAGTCAGTCTGAATTATTACTGAGCATTAATCAGTTCAAGAAGTATAGACCAAGTTCAATAAACTAGTAAAAAGTCTACATATTTTCTATGCTGCAATATTTATCACTCTATGGTCAATGGGTTAGTTTTGGCTGTGAAAAAGAGCCTAAGTTATCTGAAAAATTATATTATAAAATATAATAATTATAATGGCCCATAACATGCTTTGGAATTATTATTAGGCTTTAATTGGGAGGCTAATTTAGTTGAAGGAGGTACTTGTTAGAGGAGTAGATATTAATTAGTTAGGCAAACTGCAAAGCGCTAACTTTTTGTTTCTGAAGTTAAGTGAAAGCTAAAAGAAAACATTGACAGTTAAACTCCACTGTGCCCTGACAGAATTTCTTCAGCACCTGGAGGGTTGTACTGACTGATTCTGTAGCTGTCAGAATGGATCTAATGATGTTGATGGCCCTTCGTCTCATAAATAGTGGAAGTGGAAAATGGATTCAGCACTGAGGATATTTTGCGTTCTGTTTTTTGAATTCAATGTTTGGTGGTGAGCTTTAATTTCCAGATTGGTTTTGACAACGTGCAATCAGCAGGAAATTCAAGCTCCTTACTTTTTTTTTCCCTCTAGTTGTATCCCAGAATGTTGTTATATGACACTCCCTGTGGAAATTCTATCTTTAAAAGAGAGATTTCCAAAAAAATCCCTGCATCTTTAGTAAGCACCTGAGCCACGTGGCTGCTTTAAGCTCTTCCACTGCATGCCTTCATGTATATTAGATCTCTCTTCAAATTTTCATGAGAAGTCCTTGTGCATTATAGTAAAATACAGATCATTAGATCTGGATGAGATTTCCCAAAGACATCTGTTAGCATTGTTTTACATCAGGCTTACGTCCCCCTCAGATAAAGCTAGGCTTTCGTGTAGGGAGTTGGGAACATCACTCTTTATCTTTGAGGAAAGTTATGTGTTTGCATTTTACTATGGCGTTTTTGAGGCTAAGGTTCTCCTTTGCAGTAGTTCCCTATGCAAAATAAAGCCCGTATAGGTAATGGGGTAAAATCAGTAATAAATATTCCAGTGTCGTCTGTCTCAGTATACTTTTTTTTTCCCACCAAATAATGGTTTTGAAACAGGTTTAAAGCTGATTCTTCCAGTGCTCATCAGACATCTGTGTTTTCCTTTCCTTGCCTCAGACAGCACAGACTGTGTTGGTGGTGGTAGTGGTTTTTGGCATCTCCTGGCTGCCGCATCACGTGATCCACCTCTGGGCTGAATTTGGAGTTTTCCCACTGACTCAAGCCTCCTTTCTCTTCAGGGTAACTGCACACTGCCTGGCTTACAGCAATTCTTCTGTGAACCCAATTATATATGCATTTCTGTCTGAAAATTTTAGGAAGGCCTACAAACAAGTCTTCAAATGCCAGACAGGTAACAAGTCACCTCTGAATGATGCTAAGGAAAATAAAAGTCGGATAGATACACCGCCATCCACCAATTGTACCCACGTGTGAATGTTGAGAAGGCCTGTGTGTTGGCTCTTCATCAGTGTCAACTAAACACCAAGAAAAAGCACAATGAGCTTTATCCTGTGTTTATCTTGATAAAACTAATTGGTATTTAATGTACAGAAGTTGCATGCGTAGCAAAAGTCTGTCAAACTGGTATGAAAGAAAGCTGGACTGATCCTTTGCATCTTAGATAGCTTTGTCAAATTAAGCTCTTGGACCTTTTTAAGATATTTAAATATTTAAAGATTTAAAGATATTTGAGAAAAAAATGTTGAGATGATATGTCTATGTTGTTATTCACTAAGCATACAAATATACAAGAAGATGTTGATATGGACAGGTAACTTTCTGACATCTTACTCCATCCAAGTGAAAAGATGGATAAATTTTCTGTCTTAAAGATAATAAATACAGGGGTACTATGATTTCAGAGAGTAAAACTTTGTTCTCTCTTCAGATTGTTTTGACAATGCCTTTTTTCTTTTTAAAGTAAGCATGGGCTCTGATTTGGAGTTGAAATAAGCCATGTACAACTTGAGGCAAGTGCTTTAGAGAGGAAATGCTAATTTTATCTGTTTAACTGATTGTGATGTGTCTTACTGAGCAAGGATGGATTGTTTTTCCACTTCATATGTCTGCCTTACTGTAGACACAGAACTTTTGTGTATGCTATAGAAGGGTTTTTTATGGCCTGTGTGTAGTTGTACCAAAAAGTGGATTTGTGTCTAACTGAGGGAAGCTTTTATTCATATGTTGAATGTGCATGTCCGTGTATGTTTTCTCAGCTTTATAGACTTTGAGATGGAGATACAGTTTTAAATGTGCAATATACGCATATGTTTTAAAATATTATGTTCCATAAAGCAACTCTAGACAATGCTTAAGTATTTAAAAACAGCATTTCCTTAAAAGTTGTGGGGCTTGATATCATATAGTTTTAAACTGGAAATATACAGGATGTTGCATTTAAATGAATTCAAAATATATAACATAAATGGTACAATTCTGCAAGTTCTAAAATAAAATTTATAGTTTCAGCAATTTTATAAATATATTTAATCGGTCTGTAAGTGGTAAACTGCTAAAGAAGTAGTGGAAGGGCCCTTATCCCTTTGAGAACATTCTTTTAGCTGGAATAAGATATGATTTTACCTTTTTTATTAATGACCCATAGACTCATAGAGTAAATCGAATTAAAGGAACCTCTGGACATTGTCTCAAGGCAGGGGTACCTTCAGAGTTATATCACTTCCTTGTCTAGGCAAGTTCTGAAAATTCCTAAGGATGGCAATTCAATAATATTTTTGGGGCAACCTGTGCTGGTGCCTAATTACCACTACTAAAGTATTTTTTCTTATCCAGAGTTGTGATTTCCCTTGATGTATCTTGTGACCATTGCTTTCTTCCCTTTTGCTGTGTACTGAAGTCTTCTTTCTAACTTACAAATAAGCAATTTAAGATGGCAATTAAATTTTCCTAAAACTTCTCCTCTGAAACAACATGTCACTGTTGTGTCCCACATCCTCAGCCAGAATAGTGGCCTTCCACTGCCCTCCCTCCAGTTTATCCATCCCTAGAAGAAATGAAGAGTGTGTTCTGATGTGGCCTCACAAGCACAGAATAGACTAATTGCTTCCCTTGACCTTTGGCTGATTCTTGCTAATACAGCTCAGTATTATAATTTATTACTGCAAGGTTATGCTGCTGACTCATTTAATTTAATTTCTGCTTTAGAAGCACTCTAGTCCTTTTCTGAAGAATAGCAGCGAGTCCCAGTTCAAGTTTCAGAACTTCACTTCTGGCTTTGTTGAACATCATGCACTTGATAGTGGTTACTTCCATTCCTCCAGCCGATCTGAAAGGCAGCTCTGCTCTCCAAATATCCATCACTATCCCAGGTATGGTATCATGTGTAAAATTGGTGAGAGAGTCCTGCACCCTTGTCCTGGTCCTTGAAGATGCTAAGTGGTGTTGGCCAGATGCTCTTTCAGATTCCTTTTTCTCCACAAACTTGATATAAACAAAAAATTAGTGCAACATGGTGGAACATCAGCTATGGAGGGTTAGCACACATAAAAATATTTACGTGTATGTGTCAGTATTGGAATCTTGAAATCAGTAAAATGATATCAAAGACATGCTATTGCATGTGTGGTGTTTGTGTCCATTTGTTCATATGAAGAGATCATTTGGTGATAATGCTAGGAAAACAAATTATATGGAAAAAAAACCAATCTCAACTGGAGAAGAATGGTTTATCTATGCAGGAAACCATTTCCTGGGTTAGGAATGAGGTTCAGAAACAGCCTAGAAAGAAGTCCCTTTGAGTTTTCAGATCCTCTTCACCTCAATCATTCCAATTATTAAAGCACTATTAGACTTCAGCTGAATTTACAACATGATAGGAAATTCTGCAATTTTGCAAATTATTTTTTAAAAGAAAATATTTGTAATTTTATTCCTTTGAATAAAAATTACCATGTAAATCTATAACTGTATATATTTAACAAGATGGATTTATTGTTTTATCTGGAGAAAGCTTTTATTTCTTAATTGTACATAATTTTAAACTTAGGAGCTACATCTCTTTGAAATTTTAAAGATGAGGGGATGGGGACTGTAGTAACAACTTCTCAGAAAGGTCTTACCTCATTCTTGGAGAGTATCAGTAAAATTTCCACCTCACTTTTCAGAGAAATTTTAAGAACCAGTTCATACCCCAAGGCTCAATTTCCTTCTTAAAACACGCCTTTGTTGTTCCATGTCTCTGGTGTGTGACTTTGTCATACTTAGTGGTGACAAGAAAGTTGTGAATATAAAAATAGTGTTAATGTGTGCTGTCAACTGTGTCCAACCTTTAAGCAGCTGAGCAGTTGGTCAGGAAAGCGTCATACCACAATAATGGAAGATTTGAGTAGAAAATCAGGGAATGATAAGATCCCTTACAACTGAGTATCTGCTTCCAAGTTCTGAGCTTACTGGGGGGAATTGCTATTTCTGGTGGAAAGCAAAGCAAAAGTCTCACCTCATTGACTGTTCTAATAAGGTTTTTTACATCTTTTTTTTTTACCAGAAAGGTTAATTTCAGTGTACATGAAGCAAAGAAGAGGAGGAAAAACAGGTTTCTCTGGGTAGGGCTGAATTTTCCACTCATAAACATAATATAATTTAATTCCACCATGTTGTGTAAATTTGAAAATATGCTGTACAAAACAAAATAGTCAACAGGAATGATTACTCAAATTCCTCTCAAACTAAAGCAAGATACGTATTTGTAACCAAGGAAATTCCTGTATTTCCCTTAAAATTCCTTAAAATTATATTTCTCATGAATTCTGAGAGTTGGAAACAGCTACTAATATATTTTTTTAATAAAGTCCCTAAAATTTTGTTGTATGTGTGCTGCCGAAGCGCTACCTCGCTGTGCTGCTTCACAAGCATCTCCAGAAGTACAAAACATACAATGGGCTTTCAACACTAGGGATGTATCCAATCAGATCAAGTACTGGGAGTTGCTCAATTCGTCTTAAAACTGTGTCTTAGTGGAGAAATGTAGAAGTCTTTCCTTTTCATAGTTTTGTCTGCAGAGTGGATGAAAGACCAGAGGAGGGGTAACATCTCTGTAACACCTCATGCTAACTTAAGAGGGTCTCCTTTCTTGCAGGCTCTGGAAAGCAGCTCTGTTCTGTCCATCTTCTGAGGCTGTACTAAGATATTCCAGCAGGTTTATAGCCAAGTTTGCGTTCTATACATTAGATTTTCTGGTTTGTACCACTTTTGCCTTAAAAAGATACAGAAGTCTCATTAAAAGAGGTAAATAAATTATTCCATCAGGGTTCTTAGTGCCATGTTTGCCCTTCCAGGTTGTGAGTAGATGTTTGAGATATAATACTAAAGATTACAGCGGTGATCTTCTTCAACTAAAAAAGCCTAAAATACATTTTCAAGATATGTGTAGAAACATTGTGCACTACTGTACATAAATCAGTTAGGATCCACAGCCAAAAAAAAAAAAAAAATTAAATGGCACTTAGCCAACATACTGTTCATGATGTGCAAACACTGAAAAATGAAGGAATTTACTTACCTATATGTTCAGCTAATTGTATCACCCACCTAACTAATTTTGAAGAAGGGAATATTTTCAGTTTCAGTGAAGCTGACACTCAGTTGCTGCTTCTGAGTCATTAGACCACACTATTTTCAGTCAGAAGTGTGTACTAAACATGTTAGGCAGTAATGGAAACATTCATAATTGCCTATAATTTTTATCTTGTATCAAAAGATGTAAAATTTCTTAATAATTCTCATATGTCTAAGGTAGGTAACAAGCTCATAGGCTTTAATAGATTACAAAAATATGCCCAAACTGCCTGAAATTATGTGTAAAAAATCATTATGAGTGTTTAAGGGGCAAACCTAATTTTTTTGAGTAGTTGAGTATTCCCATCTGCAATCTTAATATCCTTTCAATATTTCATATGATGAAATTAGTTGGATATGTGATTATTTACAAATTCCTCAGAAGTATTCCTCTACATTTAAACACTGAAAAAAGTGTATTTTTAATAGCATTTAATTGTTAGCAAGGTAAGATATTTTAATGACATGTTTTGAGTTATGGTCTTTTGTATTCCCTTTTACTTTGTATGTATGCACACACCTCTTTCTTTAAACCTTATTATTTTCATAATCTCTTGTACCTTCATTTTCAAAAAAAAAAAAAAGTCACTATCTCCAAGAGATAAACATTAAGGTTTATATATTTCATGTTGCAGTGAAATAAATTTTAATTTCAAATCCCACATTGTAGGGAAAGAGGAGGATCTCTTTATAAAATAGTTTTGTGAATGCATTATTTTGGACGTTATTATCTTCATGGTTGCTTCACAGTATGATGTGACACACTGTACCTAATGATATTTGTGGTATTTTGAGAAAGGATAAAAGCAGAGAAAAAACCAGCTTCTAGCTTGCAGAGCTTGTGTTAGTGTTCTGTATTCAGTAAATGTACAAATGTCAAAGACCAAAAAATTTAAAATCTGTGTATGTTTCAATGTATAATGCGTGTAAAATAACATGTAGTTATTCTAAGATATACTGTACTTTGCATGGATTTCGAATGTTAGTTCTAGTCATCACTTCTTGGCTCTGTAACACAAAATACAAACTCCTTTTCTTATAAAATGTTTATATAATACTTAAAAACAAGGTGTGCCCCTGGGGTAACTTCTAGGAAAAAAAGTGTCCACAAAACTGAATCGAGTTTGATGGCTAGATGTCACTATGGGTTGAAAATTTAACCGATATGAAAAACATTCACATTTTCAAGTACTTAAGTGCAGGGGAAAAGGAATTCATTGATATTTCTTATTCAAGTGTAGTTTAAATCTCTGTCATTTACGTATAGTTTCAGACACATGCAAACTGAGCCAGAGTCACGTATTTGAACATGAGAAAAAACAGAGTGTGACGTCCAAATCTATTTTAAGAAAGTCTGTATGTGGCTCCACTTTTGGAAGAAGGCAATCAAATTGGTGCATATTTTGTGTGCATTTGCATTAACATTGATCAAGGGCTATTTTAATACAGTAAAAACAGCTGGTTGAGCATGAAACCAGATTACAATCAGTTTTACACCTAACGGAAACCTTTTGAAAACAAAAGTAAATGCTACAGCATGGGTTTAAAAGTACTTTATTCTGTCAGTTTCACTCTGCAGTACCAGAAGAATTCTTTGTAAATTCACATGTATACGACATTTGTAGATACATTAATGCACCTTGTCCGGATGAAGACCAAGGTCTCATTTTCTAGAAGTATTTCCTTTTGTGCAACATTCTTCTCTTGGAAAAGTTTGTATAATTTCCATTGCGTGGTCATTCCATTCCCCCATAAATATTTAACCACATTTAAAATTTACTGAGAAAAATAAAACCCCTCCTCTCATAATAAGTCACCTGAGCTACATAGATGTTTCTAGCAATACCTATAGAGAATTTATCAACTTGCTGAAGTTTAATATTAAGATTTTGAAAGAAAATACAAAACTCTTTCTGCTATCTTGTAGATGCGACATTTACAGATGAGGTTATGATGTGACAGTTCCTTTACACTGAATTTCAAAATTTAGCACAAGCAAACGGATAGTTCTAATATTAGTAAAATGAAAAGTCATACATTCAGGAATTAAGAACATAAGGCAAACTTTAGGAAATTATTATTGTACTGAAAAATGTTGAGTCTGAAATTCACAGTTAACTAAACATGACCTCCAACTCTGTGTAAATGAAATGACCTGCTTAAGCCACTGTAATCCTAAATTCAGGACATGGTGGTACCTGGGGTTGAGCCACTGGAAGCACTGCTGCAAACGTGAAGGCTTTCACATAGACATTTCCTAGAAATTCTTAAAAAAACCAAACACCACAGATGAAATCTGTTAGCAGTTCAGCACACTCCTCTCCTAACTGGACACATGAGAGAAAAAATAATGAAAGGCTTGTTGGTCAAGATAAGACAGAGAGATCACTCAGTATTTACTGTCACAGGCAAAATAGACTCCACTCAGTGAAATTAGTTTAATTCAGTAGTAATCAAATCAGATTAAGATAATGAGAAATAAAACCAAATCTTAAAAACATCTTCCCCTCATCCTCTGCTTTTCCTGGGGTTAGCTTCACTCCTGATTTTCTTTGCCTTTCCACCTGACCAGCATAGGGGGACAGGGAATGGTGGCTGTGCTCAGTTCACTATATGTCTCCTCCACCCCTTCCTCCTCAGGGGCACTTACATTCCTCCCCTACTTCAGTGTGGGGTCCCTCCCACGGGAGACAGTCCTCCACCAAGTTGTCCAATGTGAGTACTTCCCATGGGCTGCAGTTCTTCACTAACTGCTCCAGCATGGGCACCTTCCACAGGGTCCAAGTCCTTCAGGAACAGACTGCTTCAGCCTGGGTACCCCATGGGGTCATAGCCTTCTTCAGGCACCTACCTGCTCCAGAGTGGAGTCCTCCATGGGCTGCAGGTGGATCTCTGCTCCTTTATGTTCCTCCACGGGCTGCAAGAGGACAACCTGCTTCCCCATGGGCTGCACCATGGGCTGCAGGGGAACCTCAGCTCCAGCACTTGGAGCACCTCCTGCCTCTCCTTCTTCACTGAGCTTGTCTGCAGAGTTTTCTTTCACATATTCTCACTCCTTCCTCTCACTGCAGTTTCCACAATCCATCCAATTCCCTCTTAGCTATGTTATCCCAGGAGTGCTACCATCGTTGCTGATGGGCTCAGCCTTGGCCAGCAGTGAGACCATCATGGAGCTGGCTGCTATTGACCCTGTGGAACATGGGGGAAGCTTCTGGCAGCTTCTCACAGAAGTCAGTCTTGTAGCCCCACTGCTACCAAGAGCTGCAAACCCAAATGTATACCCAATACAGAGGGCTATCGTTAAGAAGTGGCCTAATGACATTACACCCATACAGACAGAAATATACCTGATGCTTTGCCTCTCTGAATCAAGTAGATGAGTTCACAAGGTCACATACTGTGAAATTAAGACATAATAGTTAAATCTGTAAATTAAGAGGAAGTCTGTACATTAAGCCATAGATATAATTAACCCTAGAATGCTTAACGAGTAAATGCAGTATATTACTCTTGCTTCAAATCATATCTGGGTATTTCTCAAAATATTGTATGTATTTAAATCTCAAATTGTGGACTAGGTGATAGCACTTCTATGAGGGAAAAAATGCAGCTTATGTTACAGGGTATTTAGACTTGATGATCACAGCAGCCTCTTCTGCCCTTAGCCTATCCGCATTTTTATTTCTGTAACTAATAGTATGAGAGCTATTCAGATAAGAAGAAAACATGCCAATACTGATCTATTATTCAGTCAATAAGTGCTCATCTGAATATGAATAAAGAATGACTCCACAAGTGGGCTACATCCGGAAAAGATCTTTCGATGATTAGGAGATCAAATTGAAAATCTCTCTGTATGGACTGCTATCGGTAGAGGAAGAAGGCAAATGATGCTGTATGCTCTTCTCATTTTGCTTAATTACTTTTTGCCATAATTGCTCTACGTGTAATCACCCTCCATTACTTCTGCATAGCAATTATTGTTTTCATGGGAACTGTGAGCTGACGATTGCCAGCCCATTTGAAACACCTGCACTGCACTCCATAAATTGATGTCAAAGCTATTTACCAATCTTTTGTGAAACTACTGGAAATCTTTACAAGCTAGAACCTCTGACAATAGTGTTTTCAATTCAACTTTGCTTAAATGAAACATTATAAAGGTTAATTCTGTCTTGAAAACACATGATCTGCTATGGTGTTTCTGATAGAGCAGTTAACATTTTGACTAGACTTGTACGGGTTCTGTGATA